GGTCAAACAGGTAAGCTACCTTCACTGGGGTTTACCTCCTCACTCCAACACTCGAGCCAAACCAGACTACATTCCTGACATAGTACTGCGAGTTTTGACACAAAGACAAAAACCCCTGACATATGCCTGTCTATTCTACACTTGGATGCAACACAGAGCACTACTGATCAAACTAAAAATGACCTCATGATCTCATGATCTTTGAGTTTCATTAATAAAATCAGTTAAAGTCACCTAAAAGAATGCCTTACAACGAAGACACTTTGTTTATTTATAACGGACCATCTTATTCTTTGTCTAATTTGATTTTGCAGAATATTTGCGGAGTTTGTGCATGTATTTAGAAGTAATAATTATACAGTTTCCCCCCTCATCAACGTTGTCAATCAGCCAAGATGTGCTTAGGGCCTGAAATCTGCTTCTTTAGTTTAACACTGGATCTACAGGGCTAATGTAGCAAACAAGTAACGAAAGCCTATGTTTCTTTTTTTTGGGTGACGCTCCTGGTTTATTTGTTCAGACACCAAATGTGCCTTGGCTAACTGACTACATTTTGAATAACAGGAATTTTTCAGTGAACCATTTCTCTAAAGTTATCTATTCCTATCACTAAGACTAAAAGTCAACACTACTTTGTATACCAGTATAGACAATATATCATCCAGCACTACCTGGCCATCAGCAACTAAGTGACAAAAGTTCAGTGATATAGACGCAACCCAGATAGATGCCATCATTTTGACGTCAACATGCTAAATCTCAGTTATGACTGATAGATCAGCACAGATACAGGAAGGCGGCCTCGGCCCTAAGCCACATTAGGCCGAACTAATTCAATTTGCATGGATGCTTAATCGTGTGTGTCTGCTAATGGGATAGGAGAGGTATTAGAATGCTAAGCCACTTAACAGTCAAACTCTAAACACCTAGTGCAAACACACACACAGAGCAGACCCAGACGAAACCCAGATCAGGCCACGACATAACAACTGATAAAGATGCAGCTTTAACCTACAGGCATGTGCAAGATCTTGAGTGATGAAGTGTGTACAAGTGGCGCTTACCGCATACCACTGAGCACAGCTGTACAGGCCAGTCAACGGGGATGCTCATGTACAGCATGGAGTGCATTTCTGAGACAACAGCTGTTGACTCCTAGGCTGAATTTGTGGATTAGGGAAGAAAAAATTAGGTGATTGAACACTGGTGTTCTTTAAACAGAGAGCCAGAAAATTCTGTTCACTAGTAGGACATATATATGTATATATATACACATATACACATACACATATACACACACACACACACATACATATACATATATATATATATATATATATCCTCCATGTTCATATTTTGATACTGACACGCCATGATACCATGATTCAGTTTTAGATACATATTTTACTGATGTACTTGATAGATGATGAGCATTGCATCCATGACACAACGTCCATAAAAGAGCAGCGTTCCTTTTGTTTTTATTCCATTTTGCACACTTTAGTCATGGCAGATTCATTAAATTAAAAAAATACTAGTCTACCAACCACAATTTCTTTAGGAACCACAAGATAATTTTTCTGCCACACAGTAAAACAGAACAGACACACAGCCTTAGCAAGGCAGTCACAATAAAATGAAATGTTTTTAAAAGTAAATAGACCAAAACTGAACAGATACAATAGACAAGTAAAGGCCCAACTGAACACTGCATGCATGCAGCGGCACAAAGGTGTTAAAAGACGTCCGAGAATGCAGCAGCAACTTGCAAAGAAGTCACAGACTTCTTTGGCACCACCACCTGCCACAATAGGTGGGAAAAATAGGCATCTTCACACAATAACAAAAAGTACCTGTCAGATGCTATTTCAGTTCCTGTGGCAACGTAAGACTGATAAAAGTTACACTGCAGTTAAACCTGCAATTGGTGGTGGAAGTCAACACTAGGTTGCAGAGGGGAACAAAATGACCCCCCCCCCCAACCCTTCATATACACAGAGTGTGTTCATGGTAGTGTTATTGTAAAGCTGGACAATTCATGAGGGTCCCCATCCCTGCTGACTCAGGTTAAAGCTGAATGTGAAAAGCCAATCCCTCCGTTTTGGCCTGACTCCAAACTAACGCCTCTGTGAACTTTGAGACCACACATACTTCCAGCACTCCTACAAACGAAACCAATGTCACAGACACATGAGAAGTTGAGTAATTCTGACATACCAGAAGTTGGGACAGTCATGATTTTTGAGGTTTCTGTACAACATAAAACAGTGCTATTTGGCAACATTTTGCCTTCTTAACAAACAACATGCTTAACATACATCAGGCAATGCTTGTCTGTATTCTCTTATAAAGTACTGGAGATGGAAAAAACAAACGAATTGAATCGATGAGCGAAAACAATGCATGATAACATTTTAGACGATGAATGAGTACCATTTAGAGTGCCAACATTAGAAAAGGTTTACTAAATCAGACACTAAACCAAAAGATTTTCTGAAACTTTTTTCAATGATTCTGGAAGAAATAAACTACTTTACCAAAAATACTTTTGGAAAGAATGAGCCACTTCTCAGCTCTCCAGTGAGGGATACGTAGATGAAGTTGAAGCTGGGGAGGGCGAAATTACAATATCACAGCACTTGAATATATTTTCATGATACACGATAGGCAACTCATTATTGTTCCTCTGAGGTTTCATCAATTGGAACAGACAAAAGAGAATTAGCAGTGACAATTATAAAAATATTACAAAAAACTAAGAATACAAGGATTTTTATTCCATGTTTAGGCCAAACACACTGCACTAAATCCAATTAAACTGGACAAATTATGCTCTCTGTAAGGACACATGCAGTTGGGTCAATGTTTTCAGTACTAAAGATATCCATGATATGCTCAAAAAAGCATGAGACGATTAAAGATAGCGATATTATCCACCTTAGATTAATTTAAACATTTCACTTCAGTGACAAAGCCTTTTTTAAGTGTGAATTCTAACTGAAGGAGAAAAAACGTTTAATCGTTGTCGTGCCCTGAGGCAAAATAAGTGCACAGTCACAGATCTCTGTGCTTTAACCATTTTAAACCATGATATTTCTACTAAACAACTACTTTTCTGAAGTATCGACGCAGTCTGTGGTAACCGCCAGCAGAGACATGTATTTTAAAACTGCTCAACCCCCTTCCGTGTTTGACGGACACACCCTTGTAACAGTAAACCCGGTCATTACACCGTTTCAGAAAAATGAAAAAATGATAGCTTACGTTAAAGAGGACTTAGCCTTCTTCACTAAGCCCAGTTTCCACACAACTGTCATTTCAACTCCATTCAGCACAAGTGTGCGCTTGAGATGTGCTGAACTGTTGTAAAGTAGACTGTTGGGAAAACATGGCGTGTGTTAACATGCCCTTCCCTCTTTCAGCTTCTACAGGTCAAGGTAGACACGCCCGCAGGGCACTCCAGCAAAAAAAAAATCAAACCTTTTTGCCTTTTAAGTCGAGAAAACTGGGCTTACAGCACACACATCATCTCCAGTGACTCATGCTAAATATATCAGCCAAGTCAGCCGAACCATAAAATCGGTCAGCTTGTAGTCAGTGGCCACTCCATTACGCTGACTTGCTGCTTTACATTGTATTGTGTGTAAATGCAAGAAAAGGCAAGCTACAAAGAAAAAAAAACAAAACAAAAGAAAACACAGTGAACCACGCCTGTCCCTTCCCCCACATTCACACTCACACACACCCATTCACCTACTCAGACCTACTCAACAGGTTCTCACACACATATACACACACACTTCAAAACTGCCCATCTACCTGTCTAGTTCAAAACACACACACACTTACACAATGTGCCTAATTTGGCCACATTTCGCCTCCTTAATAAACAATACACTCATAAAATCTACCAAGACCTGTTTGCATCCCCTGGTAAAGCATAAATACAGAAAAACAAAACAATTAAAAAGAGTGAATACAGCGCAGAATAACATCAACGCCAAATGTAACAATATCAACATTTAAGATGGACACGCGTGTACCATTTACAGCACGATAAAAACTCTAACCCACCAAATCAGACACTAACCTAAAGGATTTTGTTTAATAAATAAAACGCTCTTCTCCAAGTACAGGTGATCCTGACTTGGGCCTTGACCTCACTGCTGTAACCTAGTTGGGTTTGGTGATGAACTTCGTCATAGGATTCCCCTTAAACTGCTTAATTCACAGCGTACTTTCGTTCAGATACCAGTTCACATACAACGCGCAATTTAAAGCAAATGACGACCTAACACGTCCAAATAACTTCACAGTATAAATTTATAAAGTGCAGAACAGGATAGACTTCAATGTCTAACGTTAATTTAAATTAGGTCCCGACCAAAGAATGCTTACGGCACTGCTGAAATGCCGAGCCTCGCTGCTAACTGGCTAAACAAATCATCACTGTTTTAAATACTTACAATCCAAGTTACCGTATCAGTTAAAAAAGATATTACAAAGTTATATAAGCAGAGCCAAGTACACAAACAACTTATTACTGCGTAGACGCCAAGTTCTGCTAGCGTTAAAAAATGTTAAAATTTTCACGAAATAACATGAAAAGCGTCTCGACTGCGTTTGCCTCACGACTGAACTGTAACTTACACGAAATACATGTGGCTAAGTTAGCTGTGGGTATAAAACCCGGAATGATTCCATCAAAATTGAACAACATTTCTCAACTAAAATAACTTTTAGTTATCTTCACTGAGAAATGTGAGTCGTGGCTATCGCTAACAAACCAGCTAGCAACACCAGATAAGCTAACTGAACTAGCATGCTAACGGCTAAACTATTAGCTAGTTAGCTAGCTAACGTTTAGCCAGCTGACTTCCAAGTTTCCCGAACTAACAAAACCAAGTGAGACGTTGGTAAAAACACGTACGTTTTAAGAAAAACATTTTTTACAACTAACGTGCGACTTAATAAAAATAACGAGAGTTTTGAAAGTCTACCTTTGTGTTTTTGTGCAAGTCCGATGGTGCGGTTGCGGTCCCGGCCTATCGAAACAGGCTCCAGATACTCTGATTTTTTTCCAAGCGCTGGGAAGTAACCGTAATCCCAAACTGGTCTAAATTTGGGCGTTTTAGCCCGCACTGCCACGAAAACCTATCTGCGCTGTTTGCTTTTCACTTTACGTTAACTCTGCTGTACCCATTCAAACGAATGGAGGAGAAGAAAATCCCGTAGGCCAAAATGGATTTATAAAATGTTGCAGTCCTTTCATAAAAAGCCCACCTAGCTATCTATCTTCCACCTCCTCCTCCTCGCCGTGTTCACTCCTCTTTCCTCGTTCCCCAGTTTTGCCCCTGACCCTCCTGCTGCCCCTCCCCTGCGCAGCCGGAGCGATTCAGGGCGGGGATGGGAGGGGAGAGTGAAAAGGTGTGGGCCTGTTGGAGCGCGGAGATGACGTGTAAGATGCAACATAAACATACTTTTTATTAATTTATACATATTTTGCTGTGTTTTGTGCGGTCTGGGGAAGGTGTAGGGTGAGACAGGGAACAGTTTGTTGCACCTCCGGCTTGGTTTTCATCACGTGGCCGGTGGTTTTGAACAGAAATCCCATCAAAAGCCGAAGCTCTTCAGGGCCGAACGAACATGGCGAGAGCGCCACCTCACGGTCGAAAACAGGTGGTGCATACAAAGCAGCTGTTTTTCAGACTTACTCTGTGGCGGCGTCCAAAACCGCATACAACCATACTAGACAGTACACAGCCGAAAGCAGTGCATTCAGCGAGGTGTGTGTGGTAAGGTAGTATCGCAGAAACTTATGCGGTTTTGGACAAAGCCTTTGTGTTGACTGAGTCGATCTCAGTGGTCTCAGTTGTGTCCGGATAGGTGAGTATATTGCGCAGGGGTGGAAAAGCCGTACATAAGTGAAAGTGTTAGTACTGTGTCAAGATATTACTCAAGTAACAGTGAAAGTATAGAGCCAAGAATACACTCACTGAGCTCTTTATTAAGAATACCGTATTTATACTGGGTAGGGCCTCCCTTTGCTCTAAAAACAACAACAATGCTTTGTAGCATGAATTCCACAAGACATGGGAAACATTCCTTTGAGATACTGGTCCATGTGGACATCACTGCATTATGCAATTCCTGCATGCTGCAAATCTCCTTTTCTACCACATCCCAAATATATTCTACTGGATTCAGATCCAGTAACTGGGTAGGCCACTGAAGAACACTGAGTTCATTGTCATGTTCATGAAAGCAGTTTGAGACGAATTTTGCTTTGTGACTTGGTGCATTATCAAGCTGTAAATAGCCATTAGAAGATGGTAAATTGTGGCCATGAAGGGATGAACATGGTAAGCAACAAAACTCAAATAGGCTGTGGCATTCCAGTCACTAGTGAATGATACTAAAAGGCCGAAAGTGTGCCAAGACAACATTCCCCACACCATTACACCACCTCCACCAGCCTAGGCAGTTAATACAATGCACATTGGGTCCATGCATTCATGCTGTTAGTGCCAAATACTGACCCTTCCATCTATGTGCCTCTGCAGAAATCACAATTTATCAGACCAGGCTACGTTTTTCCAGTCTTCAGCTGTGCAGTTTTGGTGAGCCTTTGTCCACTGCATCCTCAGCTTTGTGTTCTTGACTGACAGAAGTGGAACCTGGTGTAAACGTCTGCTGTTGTAGCTTATCCACCCCAAGGTTGCGCATTCTGAGATGCTTTTCTGCTCACCAAAATTGTACAAAGTCGTTATCTGAGTGACTGTAGCCTTTCTGTCAGTTTGAACCAGTCTGGCCATTCTTCATTAACCTCTCTCACCAACAAGGCGTTTCTGTCTGCAGAACTGCCGCTCACGAGATGTTTTTTCTTTATTACAGCATTCTTAGTGAACTCCCTGAGACTGAAAAAATTCAGGGAGATCAGCAATGTACTCCAACCAGCCCATCTGCCACCAACAATCATGTCATGGTCAAAATCACTGAGATCACATCTTTTTTCCCCATTCTGATGGTTGATGTGAACATTACCTGAAGCTACTGCCCCAAATCTGCATGATTTTATGCACTGCACTGATACCACACAATTGGCTGATTAGATAATTGCATTTATGTGTAGGTGTACAGGTGTTTTTGAAAAGGGGTTGATGAGTGTATACTTAAAAGTAAATCAGGATCTACATGTAAACAAACTGAAGTATATAAAAAGTAAATGTTTTTTAAAAAATAATTTAGACATTTTGTTGTTGTTGTTCGTGGTGGTGGTGATAGTGGTGACTAATGGGCTAATGGTGACTAATGTACTGCTCCTTGTTAAAAAAAAAGCACAGTTGTACACAGTTTAATTTTTTAACACCTATATGAGTTTGTCTAGATGTTTAATAATAATAATAATAATAATAATAATGGTCTAAAAGTCTTGTGTATAGACTTTTTAAAAATATAAAGCACAAAATGCGACCTGTGCAATAGTACTTAGCAAATGAATAGAAATCATGCACTAAACTTTGCAGAAAATGCCATATTTAAGTTCAGATAAAATGACAAAAAATAGACCTGCAAAACGACTTTGAAGGGCTACTATCATGGAAAATCAGATTTACTCATGTTTTTGCAGTAAAAGAGTTTGATGCAGTATGTAAACACTGGTGAAGGTTTCAAAATGTACCACTCACAAATGTTAAAAAGTGGGCCTCAAGGAAAAATATGAATTATAAGACAAATGTTGGATGTGGGCCCTTTAATAAACATGCCCCTGGAAGTCTGAGGCCCCAGGGCACTGGCCTCACCAGCCCAGGTAGTAATCCATCCCTGTTTAAGTGTGTTCCCTGTAGAGCAGACATGTCACAGTGGGGACCTTCAGGGCCAAAGTGCTGCAGAGATTAGCGTTTACCCTCATCTAATGCTCTGAATTCAGTTAATGAAGGCCTTGCTAATTAGCTGAAGAGCTGAATCAGGTGTGTTTAATGAGGCATTGTGCTGAAGTCTGCAGTGTTTTGGCCCATGAGGACTGGAGCCTGACATGTGGTGTAGAGGATTTGTTATTTTCACTGAGAAAATTAATAAGCCATGCTCAAAACCAAGCATAACATCACAGACACAAATGTGTCTTGGTAATTGCAGGTGGGCATACCAAATCAATCTCTTCATTTTAAATTTTGTCTTTTCTGAATGGGGCTGGTTTGCCTGACATCACATTACAACCATTTTATACATGTATCTACAGCAGAATTGTTTTTATATTATTGAAAACAATGGCTCCCAACATTTTAGCGGTAATGTACATTACCATTTCTGCCCTCTGCATGTTAATATTCTCTAAGCAATACATTAAAAAAAATGCTGATATTTACAAAGCAGTTCAGAGTAGAAGAGCTAATTCTTTTTATTTTTATCAGCACTCCTACACCTGAGGTGGTTTGTGAATGCTATTCTAAAAATACCCTCACTAGAAACAGGGCATGAGCACTGACAAGTACAACATATAAATAAAATCACACATTTGTACACATTTATGAAGTAACTTAAATGTCTTCTTGCATCATAAACGTCCACCATAATGACAAAATTTCAAAGCTTATCTAGAAACTGACACAGCCTTTGTGTAGGGCTACTCTGACTGTGTAGACAGGTGAGTAGGTAATGAGACAAGAGTGAAGATGCCATTATTACATGACCTATTTAGTGCACTACACAGGGGCAGTGAGTCACTAGAGATAGAGATCAATTTTATTTGTATAGCCCTTTTTACAACAGACATAATCACAGAACAGTTTTCTGAAATCTGGAGCAACACCCAATACCAGCAAGCTGAGAGCAACAGAGGTTGGCAAGCTAGATAGATAGCTAGATAGCTAGCTAGCTAGATAGATAGATAGATAGATAGATAGATAGATAGATAGATAGATAGTTCCTTGAATTGTGCCTTGTTGCTTATAACAACCGCATGAGTGTGTTGGGCAAAACTACTGTATGCTGAATAGGTGGATATATGTAACAGTGACCTTCAACACATCACAACATTAAATTAAAAATGTGCTGTTTCTGTAGTTTAGTTTCCCTCGATAGACTGTATGGTATGTTTTGAAATCTTAATAATATGTACTTGTAGCATATGCTTTATTAAAAAAAATCGCTTTTCCATGATTTGGGCCCCTCTAACTAAAATAAGCAATCACAAATTAAAGAAAAGAAGGCCAGGCTAAAACTAATATCTAAAAACAGAACTTTAGCTCAAACAGCACCTTAAAAGAGTATTTTAAAAAGTACTTCTAACTTCTATGCCATAGAAGCCAAAGCTGTGACCTCATATTTTGTGAAATTATAACCTGTGAAGTTATGTTTTGTTTTTTTAAATTAAATTTAATGCATGTAGAATGGCTGTGATTTGTGCTGCACTGCCACAGTCTGATCACTCAAAAATAAAATGCATTGAGTTTATGTTGGAGTTAGCCCAATTATCCAAAAATTATCTCCAGTATTGCAGGTTTACAGGAAAAAAGCAAAAATGTTCTTTACTTTTAATGAAAGACAACGAAAAGAGATTGTGTTCCAAGCAATACTGGAGCATTTCTGTTGGTCCAAGGGCAGCTGCAGTGCTCAAATGATGTAGAAAAACAAAAAAATGAGACATTTGTGGGTTTGTGTCTGTGTTCATCAAATGTGCATCCAATGAGAGTGAATTGTCATTATTAATTCTACAACATCTCACTGACATGTAAATTTCAAATCAGATTTTTTTCATGTGCTTTCTGAACTTTGTACTTTGACAGGCAATCATTTCTCCCCACTTTCCTGACTGCCCAGTTTGTGAAGGCTGCTGCCAAAACCTGCTTTCATACAGCCTGCTTACTGTATGGGCCAATAAGGTTGAAACAGTATCCTAAGTACCCTATACTACATACTGTACAAGCATATTCTGTATACTGCATGCTACTCCTCAAGATATTATACAGTGTAGTGTCCAATATCTATCATTATGTACTGCACTACAGGGTAACTGACAACCAGGTGGTTGTATTCATGGTTATGTCCTCCTGAAATGATCCTACTGTATTGTTGGATGAAGGGTCCTGAAAATAATTCTGGCTTCATACTGGAATACTTGGTCTGAGTATGTATGTCGTACGGGTATCTTTGGCGTACTAGAGGAATTCATGCTGATCACACTACATACTACTTACTAGTTTTGGGCTCAATCAGTACACTAGCAGTGCACTGTAAATTATATCAAAATCTAACTGTAAAGGAGTTAACTATTATTTGCATAGTATATTCAGAAAGTGACTTTTTAATTTGTGCAGTCTAAAGCAGTCTGTCTCTCAATACTAGAACACAGGGGTCAAA